ACTCTATATATATATATATATATATATATAAGACATTAATTGTCAGTCAGGTGATACTATACAGCTTTATTGTTTTTAAGCAACAGAAACCCGTTTGCACTTGTTCAAGTTCGTGTATCAATTGGTTAACATTGTAATGCAATACGTTAAAAATAAATGCAAATAAGAAGTATATAAAAATTCTCTCTAATAAAAACCCATTACATGTATGTTCAAATATAAAAGTATCGCATATGAACTCTTGCAAAAGATGCAATTATTAGAACACTACAGTGAGTCTAACAATGTGGTCTAATTATTATAATATACTTTCAAAGGCATTATTTAATAAATATTCTATATTTATATAATATATCGTAAAATTTATCCAGTCTTCTAATTTATATTATAAATCACCTAATTGAACCAATTGATACACGAACGTAAACAAGTGCAAACCGGTTTCAGTTGTGTAAAAAGAATAAAGCTGTATAGAGTATCACCTGATAACTGATATTTTACATAGAATCTCATAGTGTGTCTAATAATTTATCTAGGGACTGCACATCATTGCGATTCTCAATTTCTATGACATATGCTTTACTTTACAACCGTGTTTGTAATTGGAATTCTAGGTAAAATTCTGCGTAGTTCTTTCTTGTTCTTGCACGGAAAAAACTACGGTTGAAATACCGAATTGTATGGTAAATACATTTTTCATAAACGTTTTATGGTAATGAAACCAAAACACGGTATTTAAACAACTAAATTGGAAATTGTTTTCTTTCATGTGGTAACGGTATACCAGAAACTCTGGTTTTCAAAATTATTCATTTTATTAGATTTTATAGTAAAAAATACGAAACTGAAATGTAAATTTAATTGAATAAAGTTATTATTAACATTAAAGGTATAATTTTTTTTTTATGTGAACGACATCTTAATTCTAGTTATTATTTTTTTCTTCGGCTTCTGACTTTGCGTTTACTCCTTACTTTGCAGAAGCGTAAAAAGCATCGTATTTAAAAAAAAAAAATAATGGGAAATAAGTCCTTAAACTAAAATAATTTCTAATGTTAGGAATACCACTTGAAACTCTGGAACACCGAAGTCGAGCTGTGGTCAGTAAGCGGGTAAGTGATCACTTTGAACAGTCTGCGTAGGGACCGAGGGTGAAACGGCATAGGTCCTCGTTAAACTGTTCTACCGTAAAGAGCTCGACTTCACTTGCAGGTGGTCGGGCTACCAAATAAAGGGAGCCATACCCTCTGCAGAGGATCAAAATTGCGATGTCATGTTATCGGATCATTCTCAGGGATGTTTCCCAGACCGTCACCATTGTGCAGCTCCAGTGCGACGTAAATAAAGCCCCTACCTACCTCTTGAGCTCAAAAAAATATTGCAAATGCCTAATTTTAAATCAAAATACAGCGTCTCACATTAATATATTTCGGTAAATATGAAAATCTTTGCTTCATCGAAGTAAATTTGAAAATTTGAAATAATAAACTAATTACTTTTTTTTTTACATTTTAGAAATTAAAAGGAAGTTTTGGAGATAAATGGGTAATATTATTAGAACAGGAACAAAACCAAAAATTCTTTCTTGGTAAAATAATATGAAATTCAAACTCTTCAGTTTTGAATATTTAACCACATCATAAACTGCTTAATAATTGAAATTATTTCTTTTTTTGATAAGTAGTTTTCTGCTAATCGAAAAAATAAATTCTTTTTAGCTCAATCTTCCATTAAAGTTGAACATTGATTTCAAGTGTAATTAGCTTTAGTTTACTTTTTAACAAATTGTAACACATTTTTATGTATTTTCTTTGCAGTGTGTGTATTTGTTTCTATTCGTCATCTCGGTTTTCAATGTCAACACATCGGCTGAATCTATAGGTAAGTCTTCATGCATTTTTTAAATTATTTAAAACATCTTGTAAAAACGATTATAACGTTTGCCAAAAATTTTTTATTTATTTATTGTATCATGAAAAACGCTGCAGAAACCAAAATGCCTCTCAATGCATTTCAATACTGCTGTTTGTCACCTAAACTGTCCAATTTTTCAGATATCACTTGCTTAATTCTATTTTTTACTTTCGAAATTCTTATAAAAAGTTTTTGACTACCGGGTTGCTGAGCTGTCTGTGTGCCTCACTGTGAAGCCAATGGTTGTGGCTTCGAATCCAACTCAGGGTATGGGTGTTTCTCTCTGTGTGTTGATCTCTATTGTGTTATGTGTGAATGTGGCCCACCCTATAATCGGGTATCTGTGGCAGTGTGGCGTAGGTAATGCTGCTCACCTACGTGACTTAGGTTCACAAGTGTCCCGCAGTGGACTGATCGTTAAGACCAGGGCTAAAGAGAATAGAAGGGCTGGTTCACTCCTTTGAAGTAGCTCTCGCCACGCCAAACCTCCGATTTTCTCTAGTGACGTCACTTTGGCGCAAAGCTCGCACTTTTACTTCAAGAACGGAGCGTTCGGCCTCACTAGCTCTAACTAATATTGGAGCATTTCTTTTTGCGAGATATTCTAAGACATTTGTTATTTTCTATAATGACTTTCCTCAGTTTTTGCAGGGAATTTACAAGAATTTAAAACTATTATCGAAATGCCAGTTTGCGCGATTGAACTTGAAAAAATTTTGATAGAAAAACAAAAGGAAAAAATAGAATTTTCCGCGTGTTCCCGAAAGTAAATGAACAATGGATTCCGAAATGACACAGTTAATATAAAACAGCAATATGTTTATTCTGTCGTTAAGAACTTTTATAAAAATTCATTATCTAAATAGAAACCGCCTCGTTACTTCAAAAAGAAAGGCAGGTGAAAAAAATTAAAAAATGGATAAAGTCAAAGAAAATTAAAATGTAAGTAAAAAGTATAAATAAAATATATAGTATATAGTTGAAATTCTCCTAATTTCATAACATATTTTTTAATGTAGTTATTCTAAATATTTATGATTTTTTTTAAAAATTATATTCTCTTCAATTTAAATATCTATAAATTATATCATCGTAAATTTAAATGTCTATAAACAATTGTAAAATTTCTAATGTCATTATGAACCTAAATTATTATTTTGTTTCAGTAATTAGCGTTTAAGGTTGATGTTTCCTAATGATTAAGTATGAACAAATTGCTATTAACGACATATTTTAAAATCAGGGATTCTAAATTTAACTTAACTTATCGTTATAAAAGAATATGTAGATAAAAAAAGTGTCGATATATGCCTTCATTTTTCTTAATAGTTAAAGTTAAAACTGAACTTTTTAAAATAAAGTATTTATCGTGTCATTTTCACCAACTAGCAAAACATTTTTATAAGTTTAAAATGGTATTTTTTTAATATAATAACCAAGAAAGTTTTTTTTGAACTATGTTTATGAACGGAAATAATGTGTTAATTACGTAAAGTTTGAAGGCTAATAACCAGAAAAAGTCTAACTTATTTTTACAAAGAGAAAGATGCAAAGTTATCATATCTTTGCTTGCGATCTCCGAGATCTGTGGACACAGTGACGTCATGAGGAGGGAAATCGTAGCTTCAGCTCTAAGAGCGGAGTGAACTAGCCCTTCTATTCTCTTTAGCCCTGGTTAAGACACGGTTCCCAGCAGATCACCGAAGTCAAGCATCACTGGCTGCGGTCAGTGTGTGGGTGGGTGACCACTTGGATTTGCCTGCGTAGGGACCGAGGGTGTGCGATATTGGTCCTCGTTAAACTGTTCTACCGTAAAGTGCTCGACTTCGCGTGTAGGTCATCAGGCTACCAAAGGGGGGGGTGCCATCCCCTCTGCAGAGGATCAAAATTGTGTTCGTGTCTTCGGATTATCCTCAGGGATGTTTCCCAGACCGTCGCCAATAGCCCATTGTGAAGCTCTAGTGCGACGTAAATGAACTACAACAACTACAACAAGGTTCACAGGTGCCCACGGGGTAACGTGAAATAAGCAACACTTCCGACATCTTCCGAAGTGAAGAACGAAAGTTCGGTACGTGCCGTAAAAAAACAATTTGACTGAAACTCGGATATTTAGCATGAGTTTATTTTAAAAATGTAGTAAAAGATTACAAATTTTTATTAAGGGATTCCTACAGGGATGAACTAGAATATGCTGGAGGGTGTTTGTAAACAAAAAAATTTATTTCATTCATTTGATTGTTGGGTTTTTTGTTTCAACAGAAGGTGAACAAGCCAGACTGCCAGTTTAATGGGTGCAACAGTGCTTCTCTGGTCGTTAGACATTTGGTCATAACTAAAATCGACTATATTTTTAATGGCACTTGAACCCTCTAATTGTACTGGTACACGAACCGACAGTCATTTTCCGGTATTTGAACCCACTATTTTTTAACCTTTTGCTTACGGTAGGTACTATCAAACGCCGTAATCAAAAGATTAATCAGTTCTCAAATCACCTCTGTTTATAACAATACTCAAATCCTCCACAATTTTTTTTCTTGCGCCAACTCTCATTTTTTTGTTACTCCAAACCACTCTCATTTAATCAATAATAGAATCCACTATTTATATCGGTACGCGAAGCCATTAGCATTACCACAGAGCTTGAACTTACTTTTATGGGAGCAATTTTCAAACCGACTCTATTTTATTAAAAACTCTCACCCATTCTCTTTTTTTATCGGTTCTCAAACCCACTATGATTTGATCAATGATTGAACCCACTGTTTTTTATTGGAACTCGAACTCGATATTATTTAATAAATACTTTAACCCACTACCTTCCAATCGATTTTCGAACCCACTCTTTTTTGATCAATATTCACACCCACAGTATTTGAGTTAATACTCGAACCCCCTATTTTTTGTCGATCCTTGAACCCGTTATCAGTTTATATGCACTTGAACTCGTTATTATTGGATCAGTAATCGCACCCACTAATTTTCATCGGAACTGAATTCCACTATCTTTTGATAAGTATTCGTACCTGCAATCATTCGATCATTGCTCCAACCCAATCGACATTCGAATCCACTATTATTTGTTCAATAATCGAACCTTATGTTTTTCATCAGTTTTTGAACCAGTTATCATTTGATCATTACTCTGATCTATTTTCATTCAAACATTACTCTGAACCACCATCATTTGAACACTTTTTTGAACCACTCTCTTTTGTTCATTACTCGAACCCACTACCTCTTCATTTATTCTCGAACTCGCTGTCATTTCTATCTGTATCATCTATCATATTGATCTAACTTGTTTAATCTATCAGTAAAAATCCCGCAGTGGACTGATCGTTAAGACACGGTTCCCAGCAGATCACCGAAATCAAGCATCACCGACTGTGGTCAATGTGCGTGTGGGTGACCACTTGGATGTGTCTGCGTAGGGACCGAAGTTGTTCGGTATTGGTCCTCGTTAAACTGTCCTATCGTAAAGTGCTCGACTTCGCGTGCAGGTCATTGAGCTACAGAAGCAGGGGTGCCATCCCCTCTGCAAAGGATCAAAATTTTAGTGGCTTGTTTTCGGATCATCCACAGGGATGTTTCCCTGACCGTCGCCAAAAGCCCATTGTGCAGCTCTAGTGCGACGTAAATCATCTACAACTACAACAACTATCAGTGAATACCAATTATGGATTGAATACCAATATCAGATAAAATAAAAATTACTTTAATGGAAACTACCAGTAAAGTCTTATAATTTTTTTTACCACGAGGAAGAGCAAACCAGGTTGGGTGGATGGAGAGAGAAGCACCCTCTCCGCTTTGACTCTATGAGCAGCTAAAATTATTCATTTGATCAACTCCCGAACCGACTCTTTTTCGTTCAAAACTCTGACCCATTTTCTATTTTTCAGTGCTCGTGCCCACTTTTTTCTTATCAATAATCGAACCTCTCATTTCTCATCGGTGCTAAAACCCGTAATCATTTTTCCAATTTCCAAACTGACTGCTATTTGAACATTTCTCTAAACCACACTAGTCCCGCAGTGGACTGATCGTTAAGACACGGTTCCCAGCAGATCACCGAAGTCAAGCATCACTGGCTACGGTCAGTGTGCGGGTGGGTGACCACTTGGATCAGTCTGCGTAGGGACCGAGGGTGTGCGGTATTGGTCCTCGTTAAACTGTTCTATCGTAAAGTGCTCGATTTCGCGTGCAGGTCGTCGGGCTACCGAAGCGGGGGTGCCATCCCCTCTGCAGAGGATCAAAATTGTGATGGCAAGTCTTCCGATCATCCTCAGGGGTGTTTCCCAGACCGTCGCCAATAGCCCATTGTGCAGCTCTAGTGCGACGTAAATTAACTACAACTACAACAACAACTAAACCACACTCATTTGTTCAATACTCGAACCCACCACCTTTTTCTATCGATACTTGAACCCGCTCATATTTTAACAGTTTTACTTTCATTTGAACATCGCTCTCAATTTTTTCATCGGTACTTGAATCAGCTAACTTTTAATCAGCACTTTAACCCAGTCTCTTTGATAGGTACTTGAACCCACTATTGATGGTGTTTAATCAATAGTCAGACACACTATATTTTACCTGTTCTTGAAGTCACTATCATTTGTATAGTAACTGATTCTACTATCATTTAATCATTATTCGAATCCACAGTCTTTTATCAATAGACATGCCTTCAAGAAGGTGTATATTAAAATTAATATATATTAAAATTAATATATATAAAAAAAATCATTAGTTAACTGAAAAGTAAATTTTTTGAATATCAAAAGCTTCTGAAAGTTAGAATATGAGTAATTATCAGCATTTGAAACACTTAAAGGATTTGTAATGATTTTTATATTTTTATTGTGTGTTTTCTATTTTTTTATATCTGGTGTTTGTACAGCTAACTCTATTTAGAGTTTACGACTATCAATACTCAACCCCATAGCCTTTTTATTTTGAACGCACTCCAGAAGACAAGGAAACACCCAGATCAAGCACTGGGATAAACTAGTCTTTTCAGGAGACTTTTTACCATTAACTAACTCACACTTGTGCTACAAGGTTACGAAGACTTTGCACGGTTAATCTGATTGCACGGGGATTTTTTCCCAATATTCCTTTACCACTGAGGATATTTTACGTCAGTACTGCGATCGGCGTGAGACAGGACCATATTTTCCATCGTCCAACTGTTGCTAGGATTCAAACCTATATCACCTCATAGGAAGGCAAGCGCTCTATTCCCTGAGCCACCACGGCCTAAAATCATTCGTATAATTTTCTCCAAATAGAAAACAAATATTCAAAACATAAATTCTATCAATTGTTTTTTTTTCTTTTCTAAGGAAAGTAAGCGGGACGGATACCTTCATTTTACTAGACTTACTGTTTTACGTCCTGGTGACCCGGTTGTAGTATCCATCCCTGATTTATAATTTGTTTACATTTGAATGACACATACTTTTTAAAAATATCCCGTGTTTAAAGAGAACTTGAAGCATACAAATTAGACAGTTAAGGTTTACTGGCAGATAAAAAACGAATTAACATGTATCTTTAACGTGTCGAGTGTTTGAAAAGGATGAGGTTCTCGTGGTCTTCCTCTCCATGTAACGCGAATGCGAGTTAATTCCATGAAAAAGACTTCCATGAAAACAAATTTCTTTCAATTCTTGATCTAGGAGTTCTCTTGTCTTCTGGATTGGCTTCAAAATTACAAGACCACGGAGTGGAACAGCAGTAGTTGTATAACCGATAAAAATAGGTCGAATTTTCAAGGATGGTAATAAAATAAAATAAAAACTATAATAAATGATAGCATGAAACACGATGACAAAAAGAGATCTTGCCTATAGTGAAATATTCTCAGCAGTTAGCCGATATAGTCCACCTGCTCATGACTGGTACCAACAAAAACATCCCTGGTAAAATTATAAGACGCACTCTAAGATTCTATGTAAAATCTTAATTATTAGCTATACAGCTTTATTGTGTTTACTCAATTTGCACTTGTTTATGTTCGTGTATCAATTGCTTAACACTGTCATGCAATACGTTAAAAATAAATACAAATAGGAAGTATATTAAAAATCTCCTGTATAAAAACCCATTGCATGTACTATATTTAAATATAAAAGTATTGCATATAAACTCGTGCAAAGCATGTCCCTATTAAAACAACTACAGTGAATCTAATAATTTGGTCTCATTATTATTGTATACTAACATAATACCAGATATAATAAATATTCTATATTTATATAATATGTCGTCTAATTTATCCAATCGTCGAATTTATATCATATATCGTCCAATTTATCCAATTGATACACGAATGTAAACAAGTGCAAACTGGTTTCAGTCGTGTAAAAACAATAAAGCTGTATAGCATCACCTGATAATTAAGATTTTACATAGAATCTTATAATGCGTCTTATAATTTGATATATATTAGTGAATAATAATTTGGCTAATAGTTTGGTCAGGGACTATATATATATATATANTATGTATATATATATATATATATATGTTCATAAAAATTAAATGTTATGCCAGCAAAGTGTTTTTTCAACCGCTCGTTAAAATTCAATTTAAATAGCAAGAGAAAGCTGAAGGATACTTTAGTTATACTTTCAGAAAATGACTTAAGTTAGAGAATAAGTCAATAACGAAAAAAAAAAAACAAAAGTTAAAACATTTGAAAATATAGTAACGGAATTTACTTGTATAATATATCGATTTAGTCGAAATCCCATAAGTAATATCGATAAAAAAACTGTGACAGAATGATAGAGTATCCTCTTTTTTTTCATGTTTTTATAAATGCTATGCATAAGAAAACCGAAACAAATATTTATTTTTATATTGGATACTTCTTCTTTTTTTGTATAGGTAATGCTTTTTCTCTTTCGTTGTTTAATTATTTGATTTGCAATTGTTAGATACGTAATTTTTTATGCATATTCGCTTATTCAAGAAATGGTATAATAGCTTGATTGATTTCTATTTTTCTTTAGATCGTATAGTAAAATCTTAGCAATAAATTACATTTTTTTTATAATTTATCTGTATTTTCTATCAGATCTTTTTTCTTACTTTATTCAAATCTAACAACATAAGTAGCTGGATTATATTATTTTGTTTCTTGTTAAATATATAGCTATATTCAGCTAAGGGCATGTTTAGAAATATCTGTTTTATGCGCATGAGATACTTTTGTTCGCAGCATATTTTCAGAAAATTGCTTAAAAATCAATTCAGTTCACAGCAGCGGTTTTCTACCTTTTATTTCAGATGTAAACAGGTAAAAACTATATAAAAGAAAAGTATTTGTACCAATAATTCTAACATTTGAAGAAAAGAATAAAAATACCGGTACTTACGTATTTTCACATTAAATATTTTCCCCAAATCAGAAAATAAATTTGACGGTGGTTTAAATTTAAATATTTTTTTCATTTTTCGATGCAATAAATTACATTTGTATTTGCCTATTTCGTTATGATCCATTACTATGTTAAAACAAATTTGGAAGGTATTAAAATGAATTAGGAACAGTGTTCAAGAAAATATCAAAATGACTTAGGCAATATCAAAATGAATCAGGCAATATCAGGTATTTAGGAAATATCAAGATGACCTTGTGTTGGCAGTATCAAATTAGAAAATATCAAAATGAATTGAAGCCCCCTCTGATGTGGGGGCGCAGGTCAGCCGTATGTCCCTGCCTTAGCCAGGCTCTGGAGTTAGGAGTGGTGTTGGCGAAAATGGACGACAGGATATTACGTAAGAACCAAAATGCCACACGAAATACAGTTAATATTTTTTTTAATTCAGAAATATATATTTACAAAAACAAGTAAAATTTCCCGAAGACAAATACTTTTTCTAGTAACTGAGCTATTTTCCATAATTTTGATTGAAAAAAAAACACCTATAGCAATTACATTTGAAAACTAAACAAAACAAGTACAAAATACTATTCATTATAAGATAAATTTCTAATTTTTTTGAAGAAGATTAACTTTTTTTCTCAATATTAAAAAAATCTGTGTGCTTGAATGACATACATGCGTCACAATTCTGTATGTTTCTGAAGGTTTGTTAACACAAATAATGATATTATGCACTGCGCCACCTATGAGATCTAAAAGTTTCGATGATTTCAGTAAATCTATAAATTTTTGAAATGTTCTAATTACCTACTATCAGGTAATGTTACAACCAAAACCTGTTTTTTTCTGCTGATGAGTTTAACAGCATTCGTTTTCAGAAAAAGAATTATTTTTACAGAGAAGCGTATAATTCATTTCTCCCAGATTTATATTATAGTTCGTTCACCAGGAGTTGGCACTTGACTCCACCTCCTCCGACGAAGAGTTCGTTTCATCTCGAAAATAAAAGGAGGAACGTCTCCGCGCTTGAAATTGAGACAACCCTTAATGCTCGCCAATCGCAAACAGTGCATTATTTTTCAGTCACTTACATCGCTTTATCATCTGCTATTTTACTCTAGCTAATTAAATATATTTTAAATTTAAAAACAGCTGTTTTCCCAGAAAAATATCTCAAAAAGGGCAAGCTATTCACTCAAAAGAGAGAAATATCATCCAATTTATTAAGTATTTATTGTTAAAAAATTGCACACAAAGATTGCGAAATAAATATTTTTGTCATACGATAGCCAAGTAGCAACCTTGTTCAAGATTGTTCACATCCTTCTCCCAAAAATAACGAAATAGTATCGTCGGATACCACGTGATGAAGGCGCACCAACTTTTAGTGAACGAACTATAATCATTATAATTTACATAAAAAATGAAGCTCAAAAATTTTTATTCTCCTCTATGTTACATGAACTCAAAGTGATTTCTCAATGCAAATGTTAATTATAATTTTTTTTATAAAAAAGTTTAACAAAGGTTTGGGTAATGAAAAAAGGAAAAATATAGTTTCGAAGATTCACAAATACAAACTGTTACCACATAAACTAACTTTAAAAATTTTTCTCCTTAAATTAGTTTGAAAAAAAACCACATAGAATTCGCTTATTAGTAGTAAATTTTCACTTTCTTAATTATATGTCTTTTCAGAGCTGCTGATACTGAACATAATTTGTCTCATATTTTCATTTTTCTGCGTCGCCTCATCTGTGATTCTCTTTGTTGGTCTTTGTGTGGTAAGAGAATCCGAATATTATTTTTCTTACGCTGTTATGTTTACGAGTTATCGCCAACTGGAGTTATGTCGCCAAGTTTTAATTTTTTTAAAAATTTCTTTCTCAATTAGTTCGGAAAAAAAATTGAATTTTTTGGCTCTGTGGAAAGTTTATGGAATTGATTTAAATTCATTTTTATTACTTTTCGAAAGTAAAAAAATCTATTGGATGAAGTTACCAAGACAATTAGGGAAAATGTGATCATCACGTGTTTTAAATTGAACTGAGAATCGAAAGCCTTCGTTAGGAAAGATTACCTCTTCAAGGAAAAAAACTTAAAGGCAGAAGAAAATAAAATGTTTATTATTATTTTCATACATTTTATCTATAATTAGATATTTGGAACTCGAGAAGAAGTGAAATGAGTTTAATTAAGCAAACGATTTAATTCCTTCGTCAAAATTTTTTTCTGCGAAGTATTTGTGCTACACGGAGAGAAAAAAACAACAAAAATCTTTCATAGTAGATAGATAGTAAAAACACTTTAACCAAACTGGTTGAAAATTGAATGAATTGAGCTAGCAAATAAAGAAACATGCTCTCTAGTAAAAGTTATTCTGAAGTTACCATTGAAAAGCTGCCACTAAACAAGAAAAATTTTCTCCTCATTCTACAGAAAATAACTCCAGTTGTCGCTACTTAGTCTCTTTATTATAAAATGTAGTTTATTCATAAGCATATATGGCAGCGTTACTTTTAAAAAGTAACGAGTAAAAGTACAAGTATTTTTAAAAAAAGTAACGAGTAAAAAGTAAAAAGTTCTTATTTTAAAAAGTAACGAGTAAAAAGTACAAGTAAAAGTACAAGTACTGAACAAAGAAAGTAACGATTTAAAAGTACATTTCTAGGAAATCGAAAATTCAAAGTAACCTAAAATTTTATTGAATAATATTCTTATGTTCTTTAATGTTTTTGCAAAATTGTTGCTATTTATTTAATTATTTTTAATTTTGAATGTTATGGAGGTTAATTTATTTTTAAATTCGGAAGAATATTATAATATAATTTTATAATAAAATCGTATAATATAATTTTAATATAAAACTTTTTATGGATTTGCACGAAAAGGAAATTTTATCAATTGATTTTAATTCTTAGTTTATTATTTTTATTTGTTTGAATTAATATTGATTTAAAATTGTTTTACTCTTTAGAAACGCGGTTTAAAAGCACAAACGTAAACAAAGCAAACACGGCGTTTCAGATAGCTTTATGATCCGTGAGCTAGTAAAAAATAATTGAATCTGCAGTATAAGTTGAAACCGAAAGTATTTAAACACGAAGTTAGCTGTGAATGCATATATATTGCACATTAATTTTATAAGTAAAAAATAAACATAAATATTTTTCTTTAATTAATTTTTTTTTTTTTAAAGCTTACCGAGCTTTAGAAAAAAGTAACGATTTCATTCGATATTTCCGTTACAAATACTTGTACTTTTTCCCTAATAAAGTAACGAAAGTACAAGTAAAAGTACTAAATTTAAAAAATAACGAAGTACAAGTAAAAGTACGTACTTTTTACTTGTACCGGCGGTACAAGTAACGAAAGTAAAAGTACTGCCATATATGTTCATAAGTAGATGGAAGAATATTAATAATTATGATTTTAAATTAGAAAAATGTGAATTGTAACTTTCTTCAAATCAAGACTTTAATCATTTGTTGTCTCAACATCATCGGAAAAATGTTGTTGGTCTATTTCGATGTTGAAGTCTTTTTGTCCCTTCTTTGGTATTGATTAAAAACAAGTAATATATGTATAAAAAAAATTATAGTTAATTCCTTCTTTGGTCAGCAAAGAAAGATTTTATTTTAGTTGGTACTTTTTATTAAATAATTACAATTTAATCTCCCATATAAAACTAAAATTAATTAAGTTTAATTAATGAATTAATATTTGAAAAAAACTGTATTAATATCAGGTGTCATCCACTACAAGTTTAAAATAATGTATTTGAACTTGAGTGTATGAATAAAAAGTATTTTATTAACGATTAAAAATTTGAACGAGATCTATAAATATATATAGGGAGAGTGTAAACTAATAGTAAGAATTGCAGAAAAAAAGGGGCGTGGTATTAGACAACTATTAAAGTATAAACTGGATGACGTGGCCCACACGTGCTACCGCGTAATGGTCTTCATTGAATTTATCTGACTCAGCAAATATAAGAAAATTAAATGTATAAGTGTGAGTAATAAACTATTTTTTTTTTGTTCAAATGGAGCTATAAGTTAGAAATTATCACTGATGTTATTTTTAAAATAGGTGAAGAAAATGAATCGCTTATAGTAAAATTTAAAACAATGACTAACGCTTAACCCATCAGAAAATTCCTTTCTTTAATTTTTGTTTGGGAAATGAATATTTCAATTTTGTTTTTAAAAATTCTCGAATCTTGATTTCGAAATTTTAAATTTCATATTTTGGCACGTAAAATTACATTCTTTAAAGTGATGTAAAAAAACTACATACCTTACAATTCAACATTTTTTCCACTATTATTGAATAAAATATTAAAAAATAATAAACATTTACGAAAAGTTATTTTCTCAATAACTTTTCTTCTTCAATAATTGTATGCAATAATTGTATCGAAATAATTCTTCTTCAATAATTGTATGCAATTTCTTTTAATTCGCTTAAAAAGTTCTCGAGATATAGTGAAATACCCAAAAAGTAAAATTAACATTAGACCATTAGAGGGTCCTAACTTTGGAGCTCTCACCTAGCCAAACTATTTGGACCATATTTCCCAGACTGCAGACTCCCTCTAAATCTTGGGGTGCAAAATCTAAACCCGTCGAAGAAAAAGTCAGAGACAGTTCGTTTTGTGTCTGATTTCGCAACTTAAAATATCGTCTGCATTTATTATTTAGCAAATCTATGCTTGAGCCATTAAGATTGAGTCCTAGAAAGTGAAAATCCGATCATTAGATCAAAAGTTATTCAGGATAATCCGTTTTTTTGGAGCACTGTTCATTCAAAATGTTGCATTTAAAGTTCAATATAATAACCCCTTAATCGAAATTGTACATTTCTAAAATAATATCCTACCGCTCATGGGCTACAATAGTAGCACAACTAAAAAAACTCGCGTTTTGGACTAAGAACATGTGTAAATATGAAAATACACATTCTTTTCAGCAGCAATATTAGCACAACTCACAATTCAACTTGAAGGCGGCAATCTTCGTTTAGCAAACTAAAGCATTTTCTATGCATTTTCCCTAGCAATGAAGACTTTAAATCCATTTATCTCAGAACATGATTTTTTGAGTTATGCCTCTATTGCAGCCCATGAGCGATATCAACGTTTTCGTAAGCATATAGAAATTCAATACAAGAAATATAAGTGAAATATCTGGTGCCTATGTTTTATTCCAGTTTTTTTTGTTTCCAATAATAAAGCAAAGTTTATCACTGTTGATATCTAGTACTGATACGTGTATTTTTCTTCCCTGAGATAGGACAACCGATTATTTCTCCTGCCTTGGGTCGCCTCCGTCTCAGCTGCCACAATATTGGAACTAGCTGCTGCATTCTATATGCTACAAGACACGGTAAGCAATAGCTCTCTCATCTCTTTCATTTTTTCTTTTCAATGTCGTAATTTAATTTTTTTTTCTTCAATGATAAGGTTTTTAAATGTCGTATAGGGTAAACTAACCAGTGAAGGAACACTTAAGCTTCGCTTGCCTTTTAAAAAATCATATTAATTTCAAAATTCGTGATTTTAGTTAAATGACAATGTCAACACATTTCCTTACTAATTGCAAATCATGTAAAAATTGTAGAGAACTTACATAATTTTGTTTTAAAGTTTTGGAGGTTCAAATAACAAGTAGTAAGAAGACCAAATGAAGGAACAGCTCTTACCAGCGAATGAACACCCATTAAAGGAACACTTAACTTTGGTTATTTTTTAATGCTTTTTATGAATTTATAAGCCATACAAATATTTAAGAACAAGCCTATTCTTGAAATTATAGCACATAAATACTTGGAAAATGTTAACTTTTTTTGTAATCATGAATTGAAAATTAAAGTGTCAACATATTAACACATACTGTTCATTCACTGGGAAATCTGTACCCAGTAAAGGAACATGCCTGTTCCCTCACTGGTTAGAAGTTGTTTTTTGTATTTTTAACATACTTTTGATACGGAACATCACTAAAAGTATAAGAAAATTAAAGTTTATCTTTTATTTTCATTAACTTAGAAAAAATCCCAGTAAAGGAAAACTTGTTCCTTCACTGGTTTTTCATCGTTTGGTGCTCCAGTGAATAAACACCTCCTCAATACTTTATTATGCTATGATGCTTTTAAAAAAATAAAACGTAACTTCAATCACTATATTTTGAATTCTCTTTTTCACAGTGAGAAAAATAAAACTATTACACGCAATTAATTCCACTTCAAAGATATAAATACAAACACTCATCTTATAATTTTTTCAGAGAAACAAGGTGTTGCAGAGATAATAACATATTCAAAAAAAATTCCCGATAAGTCTATTTGATCAGGTAATCCAAAACATTGCTAGATGACTTCCTATTGTTAGGCAGTAAGCTATTGTTACCAATCAATCTAAAGAAAATCTTCCAAATTCTTATTTTTAATCAATATATATGAAATGTTCCTTCACTGCTTGATTTACCCTACTAAAAGAAATAACCACTTTTAAATACGTACTTAAATTGATATTTTTTTATAATAAATTATAATTAAAAATTTATTATAATTATAATTAATTATAATTATAGCTAATTATAACTATAGCTAATTATAATTATAATTAATTATAATTATTTGATAATTCAGGAAAAAAAATTATTATGTGAAACTTCTGGTTTATGGGTAACTACTAATTGTTTAATCAAATCTTCCTTTATTTGAAATGATTTCTCATTATTATGACTTTATAAAATCCTCCTTAGAGATAAAAATCCTACAAGTGAGAAAAATGCACTGTATTTTAAATTAACACGAACTATGTGGTTAGAGAAACGATTAGTGATTTTCAATGGCATTCTATCATAACGGTGTTTACTTCACTCGTGAGCTGAATTAATTTATCTCATTTCATCTGATTTGATTAACATTTTAACAGTATATTACTAATGCTATTTTCATTGTGATCAGAATAAAAATAATGAATTTATTATTACGAAGTATTATTAAATATATTTTTATATCAGGTGTACAAATAAGCTCCCGCCTTTCGACATAAGATGGCATTACAAGAAGGTTATGTAAAAATCGATCGACTGGTGTTAAACGTCTTATGGTAAGTTTGTACACCTGGTAACAGCATGACCTTAAAGTATTAGTGATTCCATATAAGCATTACGTAATTGTTTTCGTGCAAAAATGACAAGTTTTGTGCCAAATAAGCGTCATTGCTGGGAACTTTTGATTTACTTCCTTAATTTGAAGAAATCTGCAGCTGAGGTGTATCGATTGCTTGGAGCAACATATGGTGAGGCTGCCTTAAGTGAGAGAAGTTGTCTTGAGTGGTTTCAGAAGTTTAAAAATGGTGAGTTTGACGTGGAAAACAACGAACGCAATGAAAAGTAAAAATTGTATGAAGACAAGGAATTGGAAGAAGATTCGTCCCAAACGCAAAAAGAACTTACTGAAAGAAATTACAACAGATTCAGCAAACAATTTCACATTGTTTAAAATCGTTGGGAATGATCCAAAAACAAGGAAGTTGGGTTCCATTCAAACGGAAGCCAAGAAACATTGAGAGTCGATTTTGTCATTTGGAAACACTTAAATGGGAAGTCTTACCCCACTCGCCGTATTCGTCAGACCTTGTCCCATCGGATTATCACCTATTCCGGTCGATGACACATAATGTGTCTGAGCAGAAATTTACATCAGTTGAATAAACCAAGGATTGGGTCGATTCGTGGATATCCTCGAAAGGTGAAGAATTTTTCCAACATGGTATCCGGATGCTCCCAGAAAGATGAGAAAAAGTAGTGCCTAGTGATGCAGAATACTTTGAATAAAAGATAATGTACCGCGTTTTCACAATGAACTGCTAATTTCTGATAGAAAACGACGGAAACTGATTTGTTTTCCCAATAATTGCATGCGTTTTAAGATATTGACACCACAAGCATAATGTACATAATTAGTTTCACAGCCCTTCCTTTGTTAACTACTTGTAAGAGTAGCTTAAAAAGTGGCAGAACTTAAAATTTAATGTACAAGTTTATTTTGCAAATTTTGATTCATTAGACACAATTTTAAGTTTCATACATGTTTTTATAAATAAAAAAATCCAGTTTGAATTAAAAATTATTATTGTACACTATGAATTCATTGTATTGAACATAGTGAATACTACATAAAAAAACTAAATACTAAAAAATACTAAATGAAAGAAATAAATGAATTATAAGAGTACAAAAATATTTTAGAATGTTGCAGAGGGAATTCATTTTTTTAAAGTATAAAATTAGGCCCACTTGAACAAAAAAATGCGCAAGATAATTATACTTATAAGAAGTTCAAAATACTTACGATATATATGGCACATACTTTATCGTTTTAATTATTCAAATTTAAAATCATTTGATTGTAAAAAATATAATATTTAATGAACTTTTGAGGTGTTATGCCTGTGTTTATAACGATGTGTAATTATTCTGGAAAATAATTTGTAAGGATTGTTAAAGAAATTGAGCATTAAGCGATAACGATGACTTATATCATTATCTAACAATATCACTATTATACTCCAAAAAACATATTCCAGTTTTTGGCATTAAGCATTTTGATTTTCAAAACTCGTCAAAATTTTCTAATGTTAAAAATGGGAAATTTATATATTTTCCATGAGAAAGCTATGTTGAAAAAAATATTCACGTCCATTATTCTTGATTGCAGAATAATTTTTAGACATTTTGTTAGGGTACAGTGTAAAATGATTTTTGTTTCTTAAATAATGTACCTTTTTTTGCTATCTTTTCAAAAAATTATGATCCAAAGATGACATGATTCCAAATTTTTATCATTTTCAATAATTTAATCATTCCAAAAATCTTTTCATTTCCTTGAAATGTATATCATGCAGTTTTCAACGCATATTTCCTTTAAAAATATTTATTATAAAAATAAATATAACTTTTATAAATCATTGTAGGTACATTGTTTTTTCTATAAAATCTAAAGTTTATTTTTTCGATTTTTATTATTCTTATATTTCCAAGAATAGTTTCCCCAAAGGGAATTGATACGGTTATTTTAATGATAGATCTATGTACTTTTTTAATTTAACTTTTTATGTCTCGATGTCCTAAGCAATGTTTCAGACTCATAAAATCATATGTGGCACTTACTTTAAATGTTTCCTTCTTTTTCTCCTTAAGGCACCTTTAAGTGTTAACTTAAGCACTTCGAGCATCGAAATTCAATTTCAATCTTTATGTCAAACCGTAAAAATATGTCGTAATACTTTTTTATGTCAAAAATAAACTTAAATATTACATTAGACCGACATTGTACTCAGTCGCTATTTGATAAATTTTCAAAAATAACGAAATCGAAACCAAAGGCTTTGCGAAAATATCGCTAGAATGTTCATTTTTTGTCAAAAATGAAGTAAAACAATGCACAGCGGAGTGATTAATTAACGTTTAAAAGAGAAAAAAAACAATGTCAAAACCTGACGAATCATCAAACGATTGAAATATCAATATTGACTAACTGTTTCATAGAACAATGGTGGCTCAGGGAATAGAGCTTTTGCCTTCCACTGAGGTGACCGAATTCGAATCCTAGCGATGGCTGGTCGATACGAATTCTGCATCCAGCTTGCAATGACCACAGTGCTGACGTGAAATATCCCCTGTGGTAGATGGATCATGAGTTAGGGTTCCTTTGCCTTCAGGCAAACCTTTGGAGGTTTTCGTGGCTTTCCTTTCCATGTAACGCAAATGTGGGTTAGTTCCATTAAAAAGTCCTCCACGAAGGTACATTTTCTCCAATACTTGATACAGGATCATCTAGATTGGATTCAGAATTACCAGACTACGGAGTTGAACATTAGTAGTCGTAAACCCAATAAATTGGGTAGGCTGTTCAACGACGGTAATAAAATAAATTAACTGTTTCATGGAAGAAAAAAAAATTACTGTAGATCTAACAAAGAATCGAAAAAAAGGGTATTAAATATCATAATAATTGATAAAAAAAGTATTCCCTAAAGAATGCTCTCGAAAGTGCTCTAGTATGTAATCTTAGAATCTTTATCAAAAATAAAGAAAAAGTATACTTATTGTTTGCCGCAATTTAATATTTAAGTGGAGAAAAAGCGAAAATCTCAGCGAAATCTGTTGAACACAGTACAGAAAGGCAATGTAATAAGCATCAAATCAGGTTTAGTTGGAGGTTGAAACATAGGGGTGTTTCTAACCATTGTCTTTCTCGCTCGTCCAAAGCTCTTTACTTTGAGCCTTGGTGGCTCAAGAGATAGAGCGTTTACCTTCCAAAGAGATGAACCGAGTTCTAATACCAGCAAAGGCTGATGGACACAAACTTCGCACCCCTTTCGCACCGACCACAGTGCTCACGTAATATATCTTCAGAGGCAGAAGAATCCTGGGTTAGAGTCCCCTTCCCAGCAGACAAACCGTGGGAGGTTTTCGTGGTTTTCCTCTCCAAGTAACGCAACTGCGGGTTTGTTCCATCAAAAAGTCTTCCACGAAGGCCAATTTCTCCAAATACTTAATCAAGTTGTTCCCTTGTCTTTTGGAAAGGGTTCAAAATTACAAGGATACGTAGTTGAACATTAGTAGACGTAAACCCAGAAATTGGGCCGGCTGTTCAAAGACGCGGTTATAAAATTAGGAAATAAAATTAAGTTATAACTATAGAAATACAATTTATCATGCAATTAATTATCATACTACTTTTGAGCCAGTGTCGGCAGTTTTGAACTCGCGTTCCTTAGCAATAATCTATCACAGTTCTTCTTTATTTGTTTGATTTTTCTCTTGCTTTTTCTTGCCATTCCTAACCTGCGTATAATTTAGAATTCGTCTCTCATAAGATATCTTCAAAAATATACACCGAAGAGCCATTACATTATGACCACCCTGCTAATAACATGTAGGCGCCGTGGCCTTGATTCCACAAGGTGCTGATAGGTAGTCTGAGGTATCTGGTACCGAGCGTTCACCAACTGGTCCTGCAATTCCCTCACATAGCGAGGGGGTAGCGTGGCAACATGAATTTAATTTTCCAAGTAGGACCACAAATGCTCTACTGGATTAAGGTCAGGTGAATTTGGGGGGCCAAGACATGACTTGAAAGTCACTGGAATGTTCCTCGATGATTCGACCCTTATGACACGGTGCATTATCCTGTTGGTAAACACCATCCCTCGCAGGAAAAACAGTTGCCATGAATGGGTGAACCTGGTCTGCAACTATCTTCAAGTAGCTTACAGACGTCAGGGATTGTTCTCTGAGGATTATGGGTCCTAATGTGCCCCATGAAAACATTGCTCCTGGGAAGAGAAACCATGAAAACCTGGGCGAGCCCATTGTTATAGATGGAGGGTGGTCATAATGTAATGGCTCTTAGGTGTATATTTATTAAGGAGAATACGGAATACTCAGTACACGATGCATTGAATATCAGTAAATTATTTTAGGATTTTTCTTTTCTTTTTGTTTGATGGAACTCATTTATTTTTTGAATATCATTACTTATAAAAATAAAACGTTTAATCAAAATATGTAAAATTAATGTAAAAAGACGCCTCTTCTTTTTATATTTTCAGATTGAAAATCCATGGATCCTTATCTTGTTTGGAACAGATCTTTCCTTCTGTCTTGTTAGTGTAAGTCCAATTTTTTCTTTAATCTTCTTTAATCAAGATTTTGTAAAGTTGGAACATTTAATTGCAAATTTTTTATCCAAAGCCCACCCTATTGATACTCGTCATTCAGGCATTTTACAGGACAGATTTGCTGGCCACTCTTTCAGGGACACCATATTAGCCTGGTCGGTAGGACGTTGTGCCCATGTCCGAGAGTTCGAACCCCGTCGGCCGAAGACTCTCCGTGTAATAAAGTGACTGATGCACGTTAAATCTGCCGAGTCGCAAAAGTCCTCCATGTTTCCATAACAAATCAATACCTCTGGGGGTACTGGATTGGAGATCTTTCTCTGATTCAGGTCAAAATTGCGATCTGTGGATGGATGAATGAATGGATGCATGAATGGGTCCGCCCTATAACGGGTGTGACGTTTGGTGTGGCAGAAGTCGAATTCTTGGCCATAGATGATGCCACTGGAAAACAAGAACAATCGCACCCTCTCTGCCTAAACAGGCATACGTCAACAAATATTAGGTGGGACGACATTGCTCCCACAGTAAGGACAGGTAGTACAGAAAACATCCACGCCTTGTCAACCCAAGACCTTTCTGGTGTGAGGTCAGCTCCCTGACCACTACATTGCCCGGTCGACTTGAATTGTAAATTAAAAAATAACAAAAAAATTGTTCAAAACAATATTAGACAAGGAACTAATGGATCAAGTATTGGTAGAAATTTCGCCTTCGCGGAGGACTTTTTGATGGAACTAACTAGCATTTGCCTTACACGGAGAAGAAAGCCATGAAAACCTCCAACGGTTAGCCTGACGTCAAGACAACTCTATCACTGAGGATATTTTACGTCAGCACTGCGGTCGCGCGAGTCACATGTGGAATTCGTATCGACCAGTCATTGTTGGGATTTGAAACCAGTTCACCTCATTGGAAGGAGGATGCTCCATCCTCTGAGCCGTCACGACTCGGAATCGAGAGATTAGAGAGATAATATAGAAAAATTCCCAGTAAAAATTAAAAATATCCTTTCTGGAACTTTTCTGGAGATTTTAGAAACTTGCCCAGCAATAGACAATGATGTTTCTTGTAAAAATCATAAATATTGAGTTGCCGTTAAGTTTTTTTTTCTTTAATTCATGTTGCTGTTGCAGTTGTAGTTAATTTACGTCGCACTAGAGCTGCATGATGGGCTATTGGCGACGGTCTGGGAAGCACCCCTGAGTATGATCCAAAGACATGCCATCACAAGTTTGATCGTCTGCAGAGGGGATGGCACCCCCTCTTCGGTAGCCCGATGACCTGCACGCGAAGTCGAGCACTTTACAGTAGAACAGTTTAACGAGGACTAATACCGCACACCCTCGGTCCCTACGCAGACTGATCCAAGTGGTCATCCACCCGCACACTGACCGCAGCCAGTGATGCTTGACTTCGGTGATCTGCTGGGAACCGTGTCTTAATGATCAGTCCAATGAGGGATTTTAATTCATGTAAACCACAGAATGTGGCTTATTTAGTTTATCAAGGGGTGCCATCTAGTGGTGAGAGTTGGATAGCATAGTACGCATAGCATAATCAGATGGTGATCAGGAGTGCTATGGTACTGCCATCTATGTCTACTTGGGAGAACTACGCGTTTATGTAATCCAGGTGCACTGATTGTGGAATGTATAACGTTAAGATTTCTTCAAAAAAGTGAGGAAAAAAAATAAAAATAAAATTGTCTTGATTTACATTGTTTTAATATGCATTTTAATGTATGAACGTTCAATGCAAAATTCAAACAATTAAATTATACATTACGCTAAACTCACGCTAAGTTTATTTAATAAAATATACTTATTCTCATAATGACCTTGCATAATAATTGAAAATTTTAAGAAAATCTAATTAAAAATTTGCATTCAAAATTGTCTTCCTGATACATTAACGCAAGAAAAAATTTTTGTGAAACAAAAACAGAGCCCCTGCGTCAAAACATATTAAAATTTATTTGTTGAAAAAAATATAATATTTGATATTTTCTATTAAATTAATTCCATAAGTCTGATAGTTATTTTTCTTATCTCTTACATACAACCACTCAACAAAATTAATTTTACATTTTTCTGATTTGCGGAATTGAATTATACCTATTTATACAAATTATTGCCACCGACAACTATAAAAAGTTCTTTAATTAAAAAATAAGGTCATATAAACGATTATAATTTAAATGTTATTCGAACGTTGGGACTAGTAAATTCATTTATTTTTAAAACTAATTACATTAAAATCGATTAAATGCGTCATCTTTTAAAGACGTAATTTATAAAACAATGTTAAAAAATAGTTAAATAACATTTGAATGAATTTCGAAATAGAAGTTTAAAATAAAGGGTGCACTCTGAAAAATTTCCGTAAAATTCAAAGAGATGATTTGAAATTTATACTACCAGCTATTGAGGCCGGGATAGCCCAGTTGGCAGGGCGCTGGACCCACGTTTGTGAGAACGGAATTCTAATCCAGCTCTCCAAAGATTCCCCGTGTAGTAAATGGTGACTGGTGCACGTTAAATCTGTCGGATCGCAAAGTCCTCCATGTTGCCATAAACAAATTATATCTCTGGGTTTGAAGAATTGGAGATTGATCATTCTCTGGTCCAAGTCAAAATTACGATCTGTGGATAAATGAATAGGTCCGCCCCCTAAACGGGTGTGACGTACGGATGAGGCAGAAATTAAATTCCTGGAGATAGATGGCGCCTCTGGAAAACAAGAACAATCTAACCCCTAGCCTTAATGTCCCACGACAATACACAACAACTACCAGCTATTCCCTCTCTATAAAATGCAATAAGGAATCCTAACTCTCCTTATGCACGTTATAAAGTATAGAATTATCTTCATATTTTTCCAATCAAACAAATACAGTGCAGAAAAAAAGTCCAATGCAATAAGTATCTCCTTGATCGGGATTTCCCATAGAGGGCTTGCAGCATCTGCCATATGTCTTGGGTTCAATCCCTGTTAGTGCCAAAGAATATCTTCCACGCCAGTGAAAGCAGGCAACGAGCTCTTAGTGTTCGTTCTTTGTCTCCCGTTCCTTGTAGGGCCTAAATTCTTCAGATTCGAAACGTCAAGACCCAATCTGAAGATAAGGTTTACTAGTATATTGTTAATGTTAGAGCAAAATGTATACATGAAAAAAAAAATTCTGAATGCCGTAATTTTAACATTTAAAAGTTCAGATTTAATTAAAATTAGTAGTAATATTTTATTTGCGTCTTACAAGAGCTGCACAATCACAAGAGCTTCGCAATGTGAATAAGTTAAGGTAATAATTTCAAATTATATTCTAACTTTATGACAAACTTTATAACGAACTTTATAACAAACAAATTTTACAACAAACATTATAGCTTCAAATTATATTAAGTTAAGGTAGGTAGGTAGTTTATTTACGTCGCCATAGATAAATTATTTACGTCGCAAATAACCCATGCTACACAATGGGTTAGTTGCGACGGCGTGGGTAACATCCCTGAGGATGATCCGAAGACATGCCATCTCAATTTTGATCCTTTGCAGAAGGGATGTTTCCCCTGTTTTGGTAGCCCGATGACCTGCGAGTGAAGTCGAGCACTTTACGGTAGAACAGTTTAACGAGAACCAATACCGCGCTCCCTCGGTCCCTACGCAGGCTGATCAAAGTGGTCACCCACCCGCTAATTGACCACAGCCAGTGATGATAGACTTCGGTGTTCTCCTGGGAACCGTGTCTTTACGATCAGTTCACTGCGGAACTATATTAAGTTTATAAAAAAACAGTTGCAATTGGGAACTTGCATTTTAAGAAGAAGAAGCTGACACATGTGACCTCTGACGTCAGCTCTATGTCGTCAGCGTCGTTCATCATCAAAATAGCATATAAAAGTTAAGTTTTTTTCACATAAGTTAAAATATTAAGTAATGTAAAGTTAATCAAATACAGAGCCGTATCGCACATCGAATTTGTTGAAGGATAATTCTTTCTCCTCTATATCTTTTACTTAACTTAGATTTACAATTTGTGCATTTTATTGCATAATTTGTTTATTTGTGTTCTACATGGCTTCGTGCCTGTCTTTGTGTTTAGCAAAAAATATTTGTGAAGAAATCTTTGTGTAAGAATATAGAATATGTCCCTTAAGAGAAATGAATGGGCTTAACTTAGAATGAAAAGAACAGTTGCTGCCGTAAACAAATGATGCGTTTCAACAACCAATCAGGATCGATGTACCCACACTACGTCACTTACAGGTGTATCATTATAAAGAATAGCTGTTCAACACGCGAGATAGAAAAGATGAATTTTTTAAAATTACAAATTATGAAATAATATTAAGTTTTTAATTTTTATTTTTCAAATTTAAATTTAACATTTCTGATGAATGATATCAACAAACGCATACGGATTCTCTAATATTTTAAAATTTAACAATATTTTTCTATTTTAATAAATTTAGGAATATTTGACGCCGAAAAATAGGTGGGCTTTATTTTGTCTAATTTAGTTTAAATAATATGTAATGGAAGTTAAATAATTTTCATGCTAAATTTGTTTAAGAATATCAACTTCAAAATTCCACAAGCAATGTTTAAATTTTTTTTTCATTGATAACTTCAAATTCAAGAAAATATAAAATATAAAGAAAATGTATTTCCAAAATTTAGAGAGAACTTACATAATTCTTTTTATATTAATTTCATTTTTTATCCTCAAAAGTATATTCTGTCATGTTATGCAAAACATAATGCGTAACGTTGAAATTTGTAAAAATTTTACTTAATTGCAATAAAAATTAGTAATTAAATATACAAAACTACACTGTAAGAAATTCCAGATAAAACTACGATAAAAAGAACCAGTGCTCAAGTTGCCAGTACATTTTACCGTAAAATCTGTATTTACCGAAAAACATTATGGAACATAAAATCTCATACACGAATTTTTACAGTACTATTTACAGCAAAATCACAGAATC